ATTTGTTCACAGGTATGTTCTGCTCCAGTGCTCACAGGATGAAAATTAATTACATTGTAATAATTAAGCTCATTGTTTCTGTCATAAGATCTATTTGCAAATTTAATTTTTAAAACATTCTCTTTCAGGTTTTTAACTAGACAGCCTGTAATTCTATTTAACGTTTTTCCTTTGTAATTTTTCCCCAGGAAGTAAATACAGAAAAAGATATCTTTTGCTCTCTCTCATCTCTGTGTAATTCCCCACTTGGGCTCCCAAATGCAAGCTTTGACTAGACAAAATCATTTGCAAGCCCAAAAGATAAAGAGTCAGACTCAATGTGGGGAAACTGAGGAAAGTCAACAAGCAAACAAGAACCCTGGAGAAATTCCAGGAGGCCTGGAGTCCCTGGTCTTGGAGAGACTTGGAGAACCGCTCAAGAGCTGGGAGAGAATACGTGGCACCATGCTGGGAACCTGGACCCATCTGGATTTCCACATATCCAAAACACTTCAGCCCCAAGCCACCCAAACGTGTGAGCTCTCACTGCATTTCTGCTTCATTACTCTCTGGAATGAAATAAGGACACAGCTGTACCTCAATTTAAATCAGTGATTGCTCTTCACTCTGATTCTCTATGGTACCTACAATCTAAGACGATCAAGCTGTTCCACACAGAATGAATCCTTGCTGCCTTTCGAGGAGAGTCTACATGACATTAAAAGTTAAGCGTTCAGTCAAATAATCACATTGGGGATGGTTGGTGGTGGCTGCTGCTCGCCTTAATCCACCATTCAAACAAACAATTGACGGATTACTCAAGTGACCTTTTCAAGTGGCTGATCTGTAATTTGTGTTGGGCATCAGGCACACGGTCTAAATCATTTGTTAAAAGACTATCTTTTCTCCATTGTATTGACTCTGCTCTTTTGTCAAAGATTAAGTTGGCTAAATCGTTGTGTGTGTGCGTTTCAGGGATCTCTGTTCTGTTCCACTGATCTATTTGTCTGTTCTTCCACCAAACCCATGCTGTCTGGATCACTGCAGCTTTATAGCAAGTCTTGAAGTCAGAAAGTGTCAGTCCTTCAACTTTCTTCTCCTTCAATATTATGCCATCTATTTTGTGCATTTTGCCTCTCCATATAAACTTTATTTTTTTAATTTTCTTTTTAATCCTCACCTGAGGATATGTTCATTGATTTTAGAGAAGGGGGGGAGTGAGAAACATCAACGTGAGAGAGAAACATTGATAGATTGCCTCCCACATGCGCCCCAACCAGGGATCCAAACACACCTTGGTATGTGCCCTGACTGGGAATCGAACCTGCAACCTTTGGGTGTATGGGATGATGCTCCAACCAACTGAGCCACCTGGCCAGAGCTTCATATAAACTTTAATATCATTTTATTGATATTCACAACAATGGCTCTTAGAAATAAAATCTATTTAAAAAAATTTTTTTAAATATGACAGGAATGAAGATATCTTAAGGATTCTCATCAGAAACTAGGGCAATTTGCTTTACCCCAGCAACTCCCTCCACCCCTCCCTCAATTTAAGTACATTCCCAGTGGGGAGGGAGCAATAAAGATCCTTAATATTGGTTGAATTTACCAGGTTGAGTAAGAAAATTTAGAATAGTGTGAGTGAAGCCCAAAGTAGGAAAACTAAATTTTCTACTCCTGGGCAAAATATGGCTATTTGAGAATAAATTCAGTTATAGAAATCTGTGTATTAAGAAAATTTATATGAGCTATAGTTATTTTAAAAAATAAAGGTAAAAAGACCACTAACCTTAAGCTGAAGTTGCCCATTTTGGGGAAGCCTTTCAAACAGATAGTAAATCTTCTCCCTGGGTGTGTCTCCATCTATGGCTGAGAGAACAGCACTGGAAATAACACGAGTTTCACCCATATTCACTGTAATTTCAGCCTTTCTGTAAAAAGGAAGATGTCTGGGTTGATACGAAAATAGAAGGTATTGCTTTACCAGGGGATACTCATTAATGACTCTTCCAGTTTGCAGTCTTCAACAATCAGGGAGTAATATTCAATATCCAAAGTACTGAAAATGATGAGACTCATGCAATAGGCTCTCATTTCACTTTACACATAAAAGTCCTAAAAGACAATTAGTCAGCAACAATGAATATGGCATGACGTAATTACCTACTTCTAATTGTCTGCATATATAAGAGCATAATTTTGTTGTAACTTATTTTATAAAATTATTTTGTTTCTAGTATCTTATTTCATACAACATCAGCTCCATAAGTAAGTGGTTCGGGTAGCACTGCTCTAATTTTACAGCCAGAAACTTACAGGGATTCAACGACCTACCCATAGGGGTTCTGGGGCCTTTTATGATATACCATTAGGAGTCTGGTGATATTAAGGTAATCGGTGGCCCCTATGTGACTCTCTGTCTCCATGGTAACATATGTGAAAGGATCAAACACAGTGTCTGTCACATAGCTAGTGTTCTCTTCACAGAGAAGCAGAGAGAGGGGAAGGCGTGTCATAGCCTGAGTTACACTGAAAGAGGCCCCAGGATGAGAACTTTGCAGGCAATTTCTTTGGGAAGAGCTTCCAGGACCAGGAGGTGGAGTGAGGAGTGAGGGAGGGGAGGAAGGGGCAGCAAAGAGTGTTTCACTGCTGGGGGCTCAGTGCTGCTGGGATCCTTTGAAGAACCGTGTAAAATATGTATCAAATTGTCCTTCTGAAGGACAGGAGGCTGGGACATTTATCTCATCCGCTGGCTCCCATAGGTTGAAGGCTTCCCTGGGAGTCTCTGCTATGCCTGGACATGGGCTGGATGTGCCCCGGCTGCTTCAGAGAAAGCCCTGAGGCAGGGAAGTGGAGCCACAGGCCGTGGGCGCTGAGGCGAGGCCCCCGCAGCCCCAGCTGCGTCAGAGGTGGGCTGCGGGATGTGACCCAGGGAACCCAAAGCATCCACTACAGCATCTAAAAGGAACATCAAAGAAATGGTGTCAAAAGCCCTAGCAGGGTCCAGTAAGATGAGAAGAGCCGATGGACTTGGTAGGAATCAAGGGAGCAGCTTCAATAAAGCTGTTGAGGATGGAGACAGTGGGCAGAAATGGAGGAAGCGAGCATGAGCTATTCTTTCAAATCATTGGAAATAAATGAGGAGCTGGGTCATTTTTGTAGTTTTAGAATGAGGATGCCTGCTTGTAATCATCATCATCATCATAATAATAACACTTACGAGCTCCCACTATGCACTGGCTCATTTTTCCAGCAGTTTTACATATTTTAATTCATTCAGGTCTCGCAACAACCCTATGAAGAGGGTGTATTATTATCCCCATTTACAAAGAAGTTGACAAAGAGGTAGAGAGAGGTTCACTACCATGTTCAAGGTCATGTTCAAGGTCGTGTTCAAGGTCACACCACCAGTATGTGGCTGAACCAAGGCAATCTGGCTCCAGAATTTGCTCTCTTAGCCACTAACTATATCCCTATGTTTTGTTAGCAGAAGAAATAAAAAGGGAGAGACTGGAGATGCAGGAGAAAAAATATCATGGAGCGTATTCTGGGAGGAGGCAAGAGGTGATATACCCAAGAACTCCTATGGAGGGGAAAGAAGTTAGAGTATAACTGCCTCACCACAGGACAGAAGGGAAAAAGGAAAGAAAGAGAAAGGGGGGGCTGAAGCAGGGATGAAGATTTGGTGATTCTGTAGGTGAAGCTATCCCAGGAAGTTGAATAGCAAGACCGCAGCGAGAAAAAGACAGATCTGAGTGTGTGTCATATTAATTTTACCTGTCTGGACTGTTTTCTTAGTGGAGGTAATAATACCTATTCCAATTTTGGTGGATTTAAGAAAACAATATACGTGAAAGGATCCAATACAATGTCTGTCACATAGTAAGCATAGTTCCCCAAGGGAACTGCAGACAGAGACGTGGTTGAGGCTCTCTTTTCTGCAAAGTGGAAGAGACTTTGGGAGTTNCCTAAGGGAACTGCAGACAGGGACGTGGTTGAGGCTCTCTTTTCTGCAAAGTGGAAGAGACTTTGGGAGTTTACACACTTTCAGAAAGTTGTTCACTTCCTGATAAAAACTCGGACTGTCTACTCAATGCCTCTCACTGCTGCACCATTGGATATGGAGGGGAAGTGGTCAAAGAGCAGACACTTGTCTGCACTCAGCACTGGAAGACAGTTCTAACCTTGCCCACTTCTGTACAGTTGCCACAATAAGAGAAATGGCTGGGGCTGTAGAAATATAATTGATAAAGATTGTACCCTATGGTCAAACTCTGATCAACTACAAAGGGAGACACGATTATCTACAATCGATAATATCAGCTCAGAATTTTAAAAACATGATTATTTTGACATCAGGTGGCAAGGCAATATTGATTCATGTGGAACACAGTAGAGGACTGGTGGACAATGAAATATCAAATGGTAAAAAAAGTGGCATTGCTATATTTCCCTCAGCCACTCTTAGTTAAAAGTTTGACCAGATCCATAGTGAGGACTTTCTGCAATTAATATTATCACACTTTAGTTGAATCTATATATTTATTGCACTTTGGTGCATGTGTGTTCATGTGTTTAAAAATTTAATATACTGTTCATTTTATACTGTGTGTTCATTCTTAATTATTTACAATTAAATAGAAATTATAGAGAAAAGTCAATTAATTAAAGGGCTCATTTGAGAATTGTTAAGAAGGGTCACATTAACATTTGCATTTAAGTTCTAGGTGCATGGGTAGGTGGGACAAACTGTGATAGACAGGAGTAATCAAAGACTTGTTTCTCTCTGAGGACACACCTAGCCTTCCAGACCTCAGAATTTGATAGAGAATCTGAAAGGAACTCTTTTCAGGTAGCTTACTTGGTCAGCATTGGTTTCTCATCATTGACTGGGGTGACCTCTGCTGAAATGGTTTTAAGTATCTTATGTTTCCCATCCGACAATTGGATTGTAAAGTCATCAGCAAGGTTCTCTGAGTCATCATGTACATACATCAGCCTCATTCCTGGAAAAGGAAAAAAGAGAGAAAGTAAACCTTTCTTATATGATTGGGCGATTCCAAAACATGTCACAACTAATTGTTTTAATTTCCAAGACATTGGTATTCACAGGAGATCATTAATCAGTGCAACAGGGTGAAATTAAACTGTTTTATATAGTAAGAGTATCCTCTTAGTTCATTAAAAATCCCTATTTAAATACTTTAGCATTTGATAAGGTTCTTATTTAAAATCAATGAGGAAAGGATATATTAATAAACTACATGAGAACAAAGGTGTCAAGGTGCTGAAATAAAATAGAAAATTAGCTCATTACTTGGGAAAAATTATAGTTAGGTCCCTACCTCAAGTAAAAAAACCAAAATAAGTTCTAGATGAATAAAAATTTAAATTAAAACTATTTTTTTAAACTTATATAATATTTATATGGAAATGCAAAGAGCCCCAAAAAGCCAAAAACAATCTTGAGAAAGAAGAAGCACTTTGGAGGACTCACAATTTTTTATTTCTGTACTTAAAAACATAAATTAAAAGGCAAATAAAATATGAAAAATCTTGTTCGTAACATGTGACAAATATAGAACACTAATATTTAATTATCTCTTATAAATCAATATGAATTGATGAAAAAATGGGCAAATGACATTATCAGGCAATTCAAAAAAGGTGAAACATATATGGTCAATAAAAATAAAAATAGTTTCAATTTTACTCATAACCTAGAAATTTCAAATCAAGATAACAATGAGAGACTATTATTGACTATCAAATTTGCAAAGATTTTTAAAATAATATTATTGACTAGGAAATAGGCATGCTCTGCATATGGTGGCCATGGCCATTCTCCCCTAAAAGTATTATAAATGCCAAGTAATCTCATTATAAAAATTTATGAAAAAGAAATACTAAGAGATGTATGCCAAGATTTTTGTTATATAAATATATGTAAAATGCTTATTGATATGTAACTTGTAATATCAAGAAATTAAAAGCTATTTGCATATTTAAAAATAGGAGCCAATTGTATGAAGTTATAGTGCAGTGTGCCCATAGAATGAAAACCTGTAGTTAACACAAGCCATGTTTTCAATTTATATTTTAAAAGTAAAAAAGATGCTTAAAATAATTAATCATAAACAGATTACATAATATGTTAGCAGTTTTATAAGTTCTATATTTTGGGGGATGGGGAATGTGTGTGAGAACATACTAAAGTTTAAAAAAATGTAGCCATAAATGAACCAAAACTAAAATAGAGGTGAAAATCTAATCTCTGAGATAAATATTAAAATATTAATTTATTTTTATTTAATATTTAATTTATTTAATATTAAAATATTAATTTATATGAACAACTTTTATTTCTTTCTTTAAAATGATTGTATAGTACAAACTTCACACAACACATATATAATTATTTAACCTAACAGTAACCACTGAATGTTATTTTTTTAAAACTGACTTTTTTGAGAGTAAAACTTGAATTATTATTCCTTTTGTCTGTGTTATATTGTATTATTTGCTACACATGGCTTTATTTGGTAATATCATTTAAGCTCCAGAATTTGTATCTTTGCAACTGATAAAAACTGAGAAGTGTGTGAATTAGCCTTTCATATTCAAACATGAAATTACATTATACAAGTGTTACAAAACTGACCTTGGGGCAGAGAGCTTACATTCTCCTGGGGGGGTGGGGGAATGAAAAGGCAGTGGGAAGCGTTGGCCGAGTGCTACGGGGAAGCGCAGAAAAGGCACGGCTGGCAGGTCTGGGTGGGCTGCGAGGAGGCTCTGAAGGCCCAGAATTGGCCAGCCCCGCAAAGGAGGGGGGGACCCTCCAGGCTGGGGAAGCGACACATGAAGACGGGAAGGAGGGTGCCAGTCGGCAGCAATTCTAGAACCACACACTTTTCTCAAAGATTTAAAAGTATTTTTATATATAGCAAATGGGCTCAGATCGATTTTTTAAATGAGTAATTAAAAAGATAATTCAGGCTACTATTCCAATGTGTCATTTCCTTAGGGAGGAAATTATCTCCTCAAAGAATAATAAATTATTATATATATGGTTCAAATGTGGAAATTTTGGCAGATAAATCGCTTCAAATTTAGTTCCGTGATCTCAATAGTTTTAAAAAGGAATTTTTAATTATGACATTAAAAGCTTGAGCTAAAATACCAAAAATCACATATATAATTTTTACTGATGCTCTAAAAGTGAAAGAAAACATTTTGTTTCCTTTCCAATTACCCACTATCTTTAGCTGGATCTTCATGCCCTACATTAATGCAGAGCCAAGAGAAAATCCTTGAGGGGTAAATGCATAAAGTAGGTAAATGCCATTTCTTTACTTCGTGTGTCTGTGATTTATTAATGTCTTTTCCGGGTTAAATTATTAAGGCAATACCAAACAAATGAAAGAGGAACACGGTATACCGTTTCTGAGAAGTTCCATGGAAAAGTTGTGAACAAGCTCGTGCTTCTGGCCGGGCCGGGCAGGCTGCTCAGGCCGAGGAAAGTCCTCGCTGAGAGCTCCGCGGATCAGGAGCCCATGGCGAGGTGCGTGAATGATGCGGAACAGCAAGGGGTCCTCGGGGACGTCCAGGTCAGCAGCCCTGATGACGGAAGAATCCAGCTCTTTCATCTGACCTTCGCACACCTGAACGACCACAAGTCAGAAAAGTCAGCTGCGTGCAGATCAAACTGGTCTGCCTTTTGGCCACCTGCTCGAAAGAAATGATGTTAATTTATCCTGTTGCAAATTTTCCATGAGATTTGTGTGTAATGAGTCCGAAATATTGCTGGTTTAACATAACCTTAGAAGACAAGAATAAATCTTTTAATCTCTCTCTTATTTTTGCTGAAGATTTTAAAACACTTTAATCATTTCCATGATAGACAAAAGATACTGTGTGAGACAGAAAGAGAGAGAGAGACTGTATGTGTGAAAGTGTTTGTGTGTGTGTGTGAGAGAGAGTGTGTGTGTGTGTAAAATTTCATAATTCAAAAGTTGGGGAAAAAGCAACAAAAGACGCTTGCTTTATAGAAGTCACAGAGAAGTTCACTTGTAAAACTGAGCGTAGAGAGACCCTTCACCTTCAGATCCTAGTCTGTGACTTTAACCTCCTGGACTTTGTTCCTTTTATAATTCTTATGTTTCTGTTTTAGAAATGGCACAAATATCTGCTAGACACACTGGGCATATTTGGTGTTTAATTTTTGTCATTACAGTAAAAACTTCTGTATTTCAATTGAAACCAACAATTGAGGAAGGTGCTTCTGGATGCATTGCAGTGTAAATTCTAATTCTGGGTCCTTCCCCAGAATTTCTCCCCAGTCTTCACACTTCTAATTATTCTGAACTACCTTCCCCCACTCTCACAGCCCACGTCAGGCTTCCTACTCCTTTAAGCACAAACAGAACCGAGTATTTTTTATTTCATGTAGGATCTAGTCATTTAGAACTTCACATGGTACTTAGCTGTCTTGCTCTTCTTTTTCTTATAGTAAGAATAAAGAAAATAAAAAATATTTCTGTTTTCTATTTTGAAATACAGCAAGATCTAATTTAAAAGTGTATCGATTTAACATTGCTTATGGGGAATCTGCAATGTCCCTTTGCTACATTTTGTGGGGAATATAAATATTCTAAAGAATCTATGTTAGATGGAACTGTGAAGGCCTGTCCATCAATAATTATAACGCAAGGAAGAAAACATCTAGTGCACTAAATATGGGTAAATAAGAAGTGCAAAAGGGTGGAGAGACCAGGAATGTCGTTATGGCCGAATGGGCATTTTAGCCTTAATTATATATGTGGTTTAAATTTGTGAAAATGCTCATTCTCTTCAGTCTCTCCTATTGACTTTAAAGGGAGCCTTCCTGCAACCACTTTTCACTAAATTTGCCTAAAGAAGAATCACTTGTCACATCTGATACCTGGGCTAAAATTATGCTTTTTTAAAAAAAAAATCTAGCCCTACTTATTAAGAATGAAGATGGCATCAAAATTTAATGCACAATGATATAATTATGAAATCACCTTTGATGGTAACTTGTCTTTTTTTCCAAGAAATTTAATAAAGCAACCTAAAAATATGTTCTAATTTCCTTCTTCATAGAGCTTGGGATTCCCGGACTCGCTATATGGCAAAAACGGTAAATCAGTTCACAAGATGACTGGGAAATTTCATTGAAAAAATGTGGAATTCTTTTTTGGTCCATTTAATTGTTTATTGAGATTATAAATAAAAGGTTTAGATCAATATACACAAAATGCACATATTCACTAGTAGACAGATTTGAAATGGATTATAATAACTTAAACTAAAACCTCACTTTTTTTGCACGTTGCATACAACTTGATGGAAGCCCAGCTACCTACAAAATAAATATACTTTTTTGACAGGAAAAAAAAATAAATGGCTCAGCTGGGTGTGGCTCAGCGATTGAGCATCGACCTATGATCCAGGAGATCTAGGTTTGATTCTCAGTCAGGGCACATGCCCAGGTTGCGGGCTTGATCCCCAGCAGTGGGCATGCAGGAGGCAGCTGATCAATGACTCTCATCATTGATGTTTCTATCTCCCTCTCCCTCTTTCTCCAAAATCAATAAAAAACATTAAAAAAAGAAAAAGAAAAGTAAATGACTATTCTTTTAAAAATCACTTGTAGCTTAAAGCTAGCTCTGCTAATAACACACAGGGCTCCACATCTGTTACTCTTCAATAGTGTCTCTAAGGAATGCTCAGGTAGAAAGAATGCTTACTTTCAGAGAAGAGCAAGGGACAATTTCTCAGTGGCCTAATTAGTTCTGAAACCCCAACCCTAAATCCTAGATAGATACAAGACAATAGAGGTAGGTGGAGTAGAAATGATTTATAGATACTTTTTTCTGTCTCATAATTACATAAGTGAGCTTCAGAGAAATCCATGTTCCAACTGAAGGGGAAAGGAAGTACCTGGCACTCAAATCTCATCGTGGGGCAGTTCTCCTATACCATTAAGATTCAGTAGAAAACAAAATCAAAGGAAGACTCTTACATTTAGAATCTGATAATTTTTAGTGAAAAATAAGTTATGGTAATGGTTTCAAAATAGATAATATTTGGTCTGGTCAAGGTCAGAAAAAAAATGCCAAACATAACAATGACAATAATCCAAATGGCACCTATTTACTGAATCGACTACGTGCATGAACATCTTGATCATCATGGCTACCCCTAAGAAGATTTGCTATACATTTTGCACACGAGGAAACAGAAGCATAGAGAAATCACTTAGCCCAAACCCTGCGACTAGTAAATAGCAATACCCAACTCCCTCTTATTCCAAAGTCTGGGCTCATCCATTTAATCAGAACTTACTATATGTATGTTTGGATTAAATCATCATATACACAAAATAGAAGTGTTTATAAATAATTCTATGCTGGTATAAAAAATTTTTCAACATACATAATTAGTTATTCTTTAGAGTAGAGAGTAATAGGTATAATATGGCCCCTGATTTATAAGTAAAAACATACAGAAAAATCACACACACACATAAACATCACTGGCATTGCATAGACATTTTTGGTGGTATTAATTACTAAAACCTCAATTGATGGAGAATGACTTATGGGTAAGAGCTGTTGAAAAGGGAGAATTTCATATTTCACTGTATATGTTTGTCAGCATTCTAACTTGTTTAATAACATACATTTATCATTATTATTTACAAGATAACAAGTGTTATATTATGGGCCATTTTAACTATATATATCTAAATTCTTAAAGAAAACTAACAAATGTGTCTTTTTGTTTGTTTGTTTTATATATATTTTTTAGTATTTTTTTTTACTGATTTCAGAGAGAGGAAGGGCGAGGAAGAGAGAGTGAGAAACATCAATGATGAAAGTCATTGATTGGCTGCTTCCTGCACGCCCCCTACTGGGGATCGAGCCAGTGCCCTGATGGGAAATCGAACAATGATCTCCTGGTTCATAGGGCGATGCTCAACCACTGAGCCACACCAGCTGGGCAACAAATATTAATATATAAAAACATTTTAAAAACTGCATAAAAAGAATGGTCCAAATTGTATTTTTTATTTCTGAAACTTTTATAAGTAGCTATATTTTTTAAAAGATGCCTGTAGTTTGTGAGTTAAGAGTCTTTGCCATTATAGCACTGGTGAAGACGGTGTGGTGTGGACAGACTACTTGGGTGCAAATTCCTTTTGTGCCACTTACTTACAAGCTCTGTGATACTGGACCACTTAGTTAACCTCTTTATGCCTCATTTTTTCAGTTACTAAATAGCAATAATAATACCATCACCCTAAAAGCCTATTGTGAGGATTAAATAAAAATACATGTACGGGATTTGGAATGCTACCTACAACCTAGTAAGTATTTATGATATATATATGCAGCTATAATTGCATCCATGCATTTGCTATATGTTAGCAGTTATTATTATCATTATCATCATGATTATTAGAATAATATTGTTCAAGTGAGTGCATTACATGACATCTGTTACTTCCATCCCCATTCTTTATCAACTTGATGTGTTAAGTACACCTGAGCCAATATAAATTAACGAGGTAAAAATAAAATCAGAAAATGGTAAGAGAGAAATAGAAAATTCTGATCTTACAGTAATATTCTGCACCACAAAGTCAGGAGTTTCATCATTTGTGGGGTTGATTATAACGTAAAATGGTATCTCTGAGGAGCGGTGCTTCCCATCTGTGACATACACTGTGAACTGGTCGGCCGTGGGTTCCATCCTCAGGTGCCTGGACTGCACATAGTTAATATGCAAAGCCTTCATGTCTTTCCACTGAAATGAAGCTAAAACCCACCAAGAGTAAGCCGGTAAATAAGAAAAGCATTTTTTCCAAGCTACTAGTCCTTAAACCTTTAAGAAGAGATCATGGCAGTTGACCTAAGAATCAGCTATCAGGGGCTGCTACAATGACTGTCAACTGTCAACAGAAAAACTGATATCCATAAATCCTAATGAAGGGTTAGAATTTGCATGGAGAACAGAAGGGTAATAATTGCTAACGAGGATGTGTAGGGACTTCATGACTATTCTTCATATACGTGCGTCAAAGAAATCTTCTCTTGATTAAAACAATTTCTGTATGAGCAGTTCTTGTCATACTCTGTTTAAGAGGCCATTTCTCTGCCTTCACCAGAAACTAAGGAAGTCCCTGTACCATCTCTGGCCAAATGTTTTCTAAGCCATGAGCTGAGGTGAGTGTGGGCTGTGCAGAAAATCTACCCTTTACGGACTTACATAGCCTCTCCTGGGGCTTCAGTTTTCTTGTTTATATATTAATTTTCTCCTGATAGAGGGTTTAATCATGTAATTTTTAAAAATACCACAATAAGGTTAGTTAACACATCATTCATCTCACATAATTACCATTTTGTGGTTGGGGCTGTGAGAACAGGAAAGGAGACTCTCAAAGCGACTTCCAAATATACAATGACTATTGTTAAACACAGTCCCCAAGCTGTACCTTAGAGTCCTAGAAATTATTCATTTTTGTAAGTGAAATTTCCATTTATTTGGAAGTAAACTTGCATGCATGGGAAATTTCAAAGTTAAAATGAAAAATAATAATATTCAAAAGTATCAGTTATAACAATTCCTTAAATGTACATGGTACTTTCAACATTTTTTTAAGTCCCTACCCAGTTATTGAGCCTGATCGAGCCAGTAAGATCCATAAACAGGTTGAGTTGTTGCTGGTCATGAAACTGACTTACCTATACTTATGCCCATATTGCTTTTTTCAAAACCCACAGAAGGGAGGGTGTTTTCAAGATAGCCAAACTGGGGAGGGGAAGTCAAAACAAACTCCAAGTCATCTGCTGCAGTGTCAGGGTCAGCGGCTGACAAATGGTTAATGGTGAGGGCTGCTGAGAAACCCTCATCTACCACGAACATGGTACCTGCATACAAATAATAGCACAATTATGACTTAGCGTGAAATCCTCTAATCAGAATAGTGAGGACAAAGGGAGTGATTGAAATTCCAATTCAGAGAAGTCTCTCCTATGCAAATATACTTCCATGGGAGATGTTTATTTCCTTTGGCATAATTCTCCTTGCAGTGAAAATATTCAGGGGTAATGGGTGGAATTTAATTTGACTTATGGAATTATATTTTTTGTCTTGTACAAGCAAGCCAGACAATAATAGAAAGACAGCAGAAATACTAAACGCTCCAGTACAGCCCTTAGGTCATTCTCAAGGAACTCTGATTTCCCTTGCGTCTCTATAGCAGTGACAAATGAAAATAAGAATTGCCAAACTGTTTTAATGATAAGCCACTAAATGTGGTTTATGTACTCTTCAAGATCAGTTGTTACCTCTGTTTGTCAGACCGTTAATTGCCTGCAAGCTATTATGAATTGCTCATAACCAACGTTTTTTTCATGCCTTGGTGCTTAATTATCCTGTAGGGACAATGCTTTCTTTCCAGAACATTGCTTGGGAGATAGTTTGCAAATTTCAATAACATTCATACATATGCTTGTATTTTTTTTTCTGAGAGACAGAACATATACATAATGCTTATGAAGAGATGACTTTCTAAAAAGCAAATAAGGTTAAATGTATATAAATGGTCTCTCTGGTATACTCATTCTGCTCTAATAGCAATTATTATGGATAAAATAAATTTCTCTCTCTCCAGCAGGCATATAGTATTTTCCCATGTGAAATAAAACCAGAATATTTGAGGATTCCAATGCTGTCCTCATTCCAACATGCCACACACACACACACACACACTCGCACGCACACACTTGCATGCTCTCTCCACACAGAATTATCTAAATTTTTAAACAAGTAAATTATTTTGCCCTATAACCTTTTATAGATCTGGGATTTTCCACAAATTTGTATTAAGGCAATTACTGGAGGCAGTTCTATATGGCGGTTTTCTATTCTGACTATAAATTAAGTGCATTATTTCACTGAACCCCGGGTATTAGACTGGGTGAGATAACAAGACTTTTAACAGAAAAATCATTGTCACCTATTGCAATTGAAGGCGGCTGGTTGTCCACTGGATGCACTGTGATGTTGAGATCATACAGCGGAAAGGACCCATGAAGAGGAACAGATGGATGACGTCCGTTGTAGCAACAGCCATTCACAAAAGGACCTGCTTCTTCATCCGAAACCACTATCGTAATGGTGTCATAACAAGGCGCCAGGCCAATCTCACCACCTGGAAGACACAACTGTAGCTGAGATCTGACTTTTTAAAAATATAGAATGTCAAGGGGAAATCTACTCAAACCTCTTCTACAAGCACAGAGTGTCAAGGAAAGGAACCTATGTGGCTAAAATGCGAAATTCAACTTTATCGTTATGAAATTAAATGGAGTCATGAAAATAATGCAAAAATGCTTGCCCATCTGTGGCCTTCGGTGAGATCCCTGCCAGACACCTATCACCATACAGAGGGGCAAAACGGGGCTAACAGGGGCCTGACAGTTCACAAATGAACAAGGAACAGACATGAAACTGGACGAGTGACGGTTTCATCCCTCCCTCATAATTGTTCGGTGTTAGGACCACCTCAGGAAGAGCAGGAGGCATCCTTGTCCCTTCGGCAGTTGTCTGCCCATTTGCATCAACCACATAGTGGTTCCAAGAAACAGAAGGACGTGGCTAGGTGAGGCACAAAGGTAATCCACATTTTTGTCATTTGTTCTGGTATTTTCCTCCTTATGCAATAGCCAAGATAGTAACAAAACAAGAACAGCACCTGGGGAAGAAGTGACATTTGTTTTCACTTTTTTTTCACTCTTTAGGGTGTACACCTATGAGTTTCAAAATACCCCCACTTAGGTAGGGAGGGAAGCTTAGGTAGTTTATCAGGGAACAGGACAATCCGCTCTTGGGTTACTAACAGCACTGAAGTGCGAGTGTTCACTATCCGGGGGACAGAAAATTCACCAGGCGTGCTTTGGTACCTCTCATGCATTACTTTGAAAGTGCCAAAGGGGAGGCAATTGTGCTAGAAGTTTTAATGAGACTGGAGCACAAAAGATCAGAACAGCATCGCTTTTTCACAAGACACATGGAGCACATCTCTAGAGTGTGGTGCTTGGCATTATTTTTCCTGTTTGAAAAAAGACTAGAAAAAATACAGAGATGATACTATTGAGCAGACAAATGATTAAATAATGAGAAACGTGTTTTAAGGAAAAATAGTCTTGAAGTTGAGAGAATTAGAATTAAACAGCTAGCCTTCAATCTTAGGAAAAGTAACAGATAAGAGGCCTATCAACTATTAATATACATAAAAATCAAATTGGCTTAAAGTATATTTATTCATCATCCACTCAATAAATATATATTAAATATGTAAAGCCTAATATGTGACAATTAGTGCTCTGGGTACTTTAGTGAAGAAAGGAAGACATTTTGAAAATATCAAAAGAATGCCAAATGTCAAAAGACCTACTATGTGTCAGGCACTGACAGTCTAATTATAGAAAAAAATGCAGTTTGCTTAGGATATCACAGATGTGTGTATTAAATGGAACTATATGAAATTGCCACCACTGAGCGAATTTTTACCTATCAAATGGAAAATATATATATCTCAGCCTGATCTGTACAAGGTGCAGAGGGTGAAGAAGATGAGAGTATTGGCTGACACAGACATGAGGGCAGGGCACACATGCCAGAGAGTCAGAGAAGTCTTTCCAGATAACATTCCTGGCTTTGTATTGAGCGTTACGTAAGGCAAAGACCTGGAAGCTGGGAAAGAGAACCTATACGGAGAGGGAATCAGAAAGAGAAATGGAAAAATCATTCCAGGAAGGGAAGACAGCTTTTCAAAAAAGCAAATGTAGTATATTCGGTAACTATAACTTCAATATAATGGAAGCATAGGAAACATTTTCAGGAAAAGCTGGAAAAGCAGCTTGAACATCAAGCCACGAAAATACTCCAACCCAGGTGGAAGAATTCTTTACCCTGAAATAAAATATAGTCTAAGGACAGGATTTATACTTAAAACTCTTAATCATAGTGGTATTTAAGAGAAAATTATTTAATGACTTCATGTTTGATATTGGGAGAATAGCAAATTAATAATGTGCTTTTATATCATAAACTATTATTCATTTATTAAGCTTATGTTTATAATCACTTTTAATATCTAATAAATATTTTAAACTGTTTTGGTGATAATTTAAATGAAAAAGGTAATTTATAAAACTGTAGATACAACATGATTGCAACTATGCTAAAAATTATGATTAGAAAAGGAAATAAAAAACTTTAATACTGAAATGTTCAACAGCGATTCTTTGACAAGTAAATAAGGTGATTTTTTCAAAACTTCACAATAGTTTTCCATACTTTCCAATTTTTCTGCAGTAAGCATGTATTATGAACGTAACATAGAAAGCAAATATAATAATGGTGACAAAATTATTCTCAGGTGGGCCTTATAACCAATATGTAGACAAGAGTTAGGCCACTGAACCCAGATCTTACAATACTGTGGTTCTTTATACAAATTTTGGCAAAGTGTGAAATAACTACCGATTGAGTAATTAAATGAACATCATAAAACAACATAATACTTAAAAAAGTAAACACCTTTTGAATATAGTTTTTCTTCTAACTTAATAACATAGCAAAAAAAGAAAATCCATTTGAAATAATTTGTCCCAATGTCCTTCTAGATCTTATGAAACAATTAGTTACAGCCCCTTACACGGCTATTACATTAGAAGAGATTTATAAATGTGTATATCTGTTGTTTAGCACCTGGAACAAGGCACTGGGAGAGAAGAACACATTCATCTCTCACTAATTTACCTTTGCTCCATGAGCCCGCCAAAGGTGTTAAAATTATGTAGCAAACAATAATCATTGGTCTTTGGATCCCTTTCTGCCAGCCTATTTGAAATCTACTGGGGAAATATAAAAGAAGTACCTAGTTGTGAACTTTTGAGAGATACTGAAAGACATCAAGCACCTGGACGATGCTCCCAGGATAAGAAATTAACTAAATAAACCTTACCTAAGACTAAACATAGATAAAAAGATAAGGAGATACCATTTAAAGAAAAAGAATTGTCTGGGAGTGATTAAAATGTGCCATACTAACTAACTGGCACGAGACAACTGGTATCCTAATACATCACTGTTTTCCAAAGTACATATACAAATATTATTTCCAAATGTTTTCTCCCATTTCCAATTTATTTTTCAGCTATCTCAATCCTCCCTCCTGGAGTTCCCTCCCCACCCCTCACTGCTTGCATTCTCTCTATATCTCCTCAAATAAGAAAATGATTTGAATTCTGATACCTCTTATTTCCACTACCACCCCCTTGGCCTACATATCTAATCGTACTTCCCTCATGGAATGTACAGGTCAGCGAGGCATACGGGTGAGTAAATATGGAATGGAAATAGAGTGCAATGAAAGGGAGTCAGGAAGTATATGGTGTCATTACTGAGGAAGTGTCCCCAATCCAGTATTCAGATGTGCAAGGGGTGATGAAGTGCGGATGTATCACAGGGTCATTTTTGCATGTGAATGGGTTCGTCTACTCATTTAAAGGAAAAGTCCTTCCCAGCAGGGTCTGGATTATACTCCTTTGTAGCTGACAGTGCCTAGTACTGTGCCTTGCAGATATCAGATGGTGAATTAATAAATATCTCCCTTATTTGAACATTTTACATGGGAACACATGCCACCTGGGTAACGATATAATGTGATGCCGGAAACGTAAGCCTGACACTAATCATCAAGCATTTGCTGTGTCTCTCATCTGTGTCCACCACTGCCGTGTGCTGTGGACGAGTCACACAAAGCCTAAGACTTCATCTGTGCGTCTCAGAAACTTAAAAGGCAGGTTAGTTACTTGTTAGCAACTAGACAGTGGTCAGTAAACTTCTAAAATTAATAATGTAATTATCTTCAGGAGTTTACTTCAGATGTTTCTGCTATGATGTCATGATTTATGAACCCAGAGGCTGTGATGGTCAAATAGAGTCATTGTCCGATTGACCAAAAAGGGGGTGAGGATGACCCCAGAGAGACTGAAGGTCTGCGTGCGAGCGTCATGAACAGAGCAGCAGTAACGCTTCCTCCTTCTCTACTCTGAAATTCACTATATTACTGAGATCAGAAATCCTTCTAAGGATGGTGACCCTACTGAGCAATGGGATACAGGCTGCTGCTGCTGCTTTCTCCGGAAGCGAGCACTCAAACTGTTGGATCATTGGAGCCTATAGTAAGGAGTGGGGCTAAGACTCTGCCCTGCGACTTACATTCCCTCACTCAAAACTAGTCACAATGCTGTCACTTACCTGTATGTTTGTACGTCACAGCCCCTGAGATGACATCTCCCTGAGAGAACTGGTCCACTCTGACCCCAGCTTTCCTCACCACCCCGTGCTGAGGTTCCCGAGAAATCACAAACATCAGTTTCATGTCATCACTGTCCGCGTCAGTAGCAGAAATGTATTCAGAGGTGATGACCACCTCAGCGCCCTCTGAGCAATGCATCCGGGGGTTGAGGTCAGGCTTTAGGATCGGTGGCTCATCATTGACGGGGAACACCTAAGTAGGAAGAAAACAGCATGTTTTCAAGAACAAGAAAGCAATGACAAAGAGCCCAACTGGTAACCCATAGCTCATAGTCACAATGACAGGCATTTTCAATCTTCCTGACACATAAAACAATAGCCATGGAATTTGGCCAAGCAGTTTGTATCTTAACTTTCCCCATATGAACCATCTTGTAAGAAATGACCCACATGAGGGATATTTTAGGTAGGAATGGAAGGGTACAGTTATGGTTTGAGACTCCAATCTCCCATTTGTTTCCAGGCAGACGAAATATAAATGTGATCTAAAGCATCCTTCACCAAGGCCCGTGTTCTCCTTCATTAAATTCACACATATTTCGAGGAAGTCTGGTCCTTGCCGTCTGATGCATTTACATTTCCCACATCAAAGTTATTTATACTTCAAATTACTTAGTGATTACAAAGCTTTCTTCTACCCTCAACTTCCTGCCACCCAGGAAGTTTCTCTGGACCTACAATAAGCAGCAGCTGCATGTCAAACATTTTCAGCTAAATCTGAAACTCCATAACCATCAAATCAATGCCAGGCTTCAACTTGACTCAACATTGTTCTCTTACTGTCGTGAAAATAAAGCTCCGAGCAGAAGGGAAAGGAAAGCAACATAGGCTCACACTGGCTCTCAGAATTTAAAAAGATGATGGAGAAATCTGAAAACATTATGTCTTCTAAATGGAAATGTAGGACATGCCTCCTCTGTGTTCACAACAGCAACTTGGTGGATGCTGCAAGTTTATTTATCAAGTCCAGCCTGTGAATACTCTCAGCCCTACATTTCCCTCCCCCATACTCCAGCCAATGGGATCTTTTAAAAGTTGGTCCCCATCAAGTCACTACCCTGTGGGAACCTTCAATGGCTTCCCAGCGCTTCCAGGATACCTTTGGCCTCATCTCATGCCACTCCACTCCATTTCACCCCAAAACACTGCAATCCTCCCATCTCAGGTGTCTGCACCATCTCTGCATCCTGTCTCTGCCCCCAGCTCTTTGCTTGTCCATCTCCTCCCCCAGGTTACATGTGAATTCCAGAGGGAAAACTTCCTTGACAACTCAGACTCATGTAGGGACTTCTATTATTTACTCTCTTTAAGCACCCCATTTATTTGTAGAACACATGCATATTTTGACTAATTACTTCAGTGATAATCTTTTTAACGTCTGCCTCCATCCCTTGCCTAAAAGCTTTATTTGTCATGTTTATCATCATATCCCAAGCATCTAGGATAGGACCTGGCATATAGACGACACTAATTAAATACTTATGGAATAAATAAATAAATGTAACCATGTATATATGCCCTGGTTACCTTGCTATTTAAATAGTCATTAAACTCTACAACAAGTATACATGAAATTATGTTGACACTTTGCTTTAATGGATAGAGGGATGGGGTGATAGAAACCCAGCCTTATTTGTTTAATCAAAGTTTAAAAAAGGAAAATATTCTATTTTCTATTGACTTATTAGGAAACAATATCTTTGTTCAACTCCTCTAAGTGGATTCATTAAAGACCCTCTTTATTATTGTTCTTGACTCAATCCATGAATCTCACCGATACATTCACAACGACCATCTTGCAGTAGCTCACACAATAGCCTCAGCTTCAAATGAATAATAAAGTCCAAAGGCAACAGAATTAAAACATTCCTCCTAGATTAAAAAAAATCGCACATAATATTCCAAAAATTGCTTGTGCCTCTGATTGCCTTCCAAAAGCCATGCCCTTCTGTCTAAAAAGGAGCAATAAACACATTGTTTTCCCCAAATGCATTGCGTATTGTCATTAATAAGAAGATGGTCGTCCATAGAAAATAGGTAGGGTTGGATTTTTTCACCTAAAATTTGCTTTTCAGGAAAAGTAACTCAGAAAAGCTTTCTCTCTATATAAAAGTCTGCCAGTGAGAAATATATTTTTCTTATTGAAGCTAAAATAACATGCTGCTCTTCAAGGCCCTCATGAGGATTAAGGGGGAAAATGGAAGGAAGGGGCTCTGCACTGTGACTGGCAGGGATAAGTACTCAGGAAATCTTGGCCACATGATAATTATAATCACCTGGTAATGTACAGTTGAGGCAGTGGCGAGTAGGAAGGGACACTGGCCTCACTACTAGAGAGTGGAGGTGCCAGCCCAGGTCTATACAGTCAAGATAATGACTGTGGGCAAGTCATTGAACTTCTTGGACCTACACTTCCTTCACTATAAAATGGGGATAATTTCTCCCCTGTTACTTCTTAAAGCACTAGCTGGATGTGATCATTCTTAATTAATTATCATTTTTCTTTTTTAAATTAAATTTATTGGGGTGACATTTTTTAATATGATCATATAGGTTTCAGGTGTGGGTTTCTATGTTACAAGATCTGTATATTGCACTGTGTGCCCCAGGACCCGAAGTCAAATCTTCTCCTGTCACCATATGTTAGGGCTTAATTATTAACTATAAAATATCTTACAAACACATTGTTATTATCACAAATAATAATTTCATATCACAAAAATCTGACAAAATTCAAAAACAGAAATAGAACTTCGTATAATAAGAATAATTAGTGGCTCCTCCAGGACCATGATGAGTCTTTTTGAAGACTTTCCTTTGTCACTAACTATAAATACCTGCAAATCCTATGAGTTATGCTTATGGACTTGGGTGGTCACTCAAAAGTGAAACTTGGGGATTCCCATAAGGTCTTTTGGCATGTACTCAACCTTCAAGTGAATATTTTTCCTCATTTGTCAAAAAGGGAGAAATTATCATTTTAAAAACACTTCAGGCAAATTCACAAAGGGATACTACGCATATACAGACAGAGCTTCTTCCAGACTACAGAGAAAACTCTAGTGATGCCATTCTAACCTGCCCAGCTGCAGGTTGAGTATTACAGCCCAAAAATATTAGAAATAATTTATACATAAAACCAATTGCTTTTTAAGTTAAGTTTATGGATTTGAGGTCAGAGCAGTTCTATCTTTAAATGGACTGGAGAGAGAAACAGATTGCCCATTTCACCCGTACAACTTTGCTGTCTATTGCCTGTCCTGAGACACTGACAGACGTAAGCAGGCATATTCTTCTTTGGAGTCTGTGTGTTTTAAATTCTATCAGGGACTATAAGAAGCTTCCAAATCAGATGTTCTATTTCTATATGAACCAGGGAGGAAACTTTCTACCCACCTCAATGTGTAGAACAAATTCTACTGAATTGGTGCCATCTGTGACCTCCAAGAGTATGTCATCCTGAAGTACCTCGGATCCATCATGCTGATACCTGTGGGGATGACATTTGTCACTGACCTCTCAAGGCCACCATGAGAGTCCACTGAGATGCCCGACACAAGAGCTCTTCCATGGCTTTGGCCATATATTCAATAAATATAAAAAGACGCAACATAGCCTGGCCCGGCGTGGCTCAGTGGTTGAGCATTAACCTAGGATCCAGGAGATCACAGTTCGATTCCCAGTCAGGGCACATGCCCAGGTTGGGGGCTCGGTCCCCAGTCTGGGTGTGCAGGAGGCAGCCGATCAATGACTCTCTCATCATTGAAACTATCTCTCTCTCTTACTCTCCTTTCCTCTCTCTGAAATCAATAAAGATATATATGTTTTTTAAATGGAAAAAAACAAAACAAAATAAAACGTAACATAATCATAAAGTCACATATTTAACCACTAAAGTATCCCTGAATGTAAAATTGCTCCACCCTGGAAAAATGTGTTATATGCATTCATAATTTCTCCCCAAATCAAAAAGCAGCACAACAGGAACCAGTTGGTGCGGCTGTCTACTTACAGAAAACACTGGTTGGCGCCAGGTAACAGTAGGCAGGTAAAAGTGGGGCACTGTGTGGATTTTGATGATTCCCCCTCCTCCCCCACTTTTAAGGGTAATCCTTGCCTGTGCTCTGGGTCTATTCGGCTCTTGTCTAAAACTTTGATCTATAAATTATTTATTGCCTCTCTCCTGCCATTTTCCCTTTTCTATTTACTAGCTCTCTTCCTCCCAATCTATAAAGATTTTAGACTTAAAAATATTTGTCCTTGGTCTAGCCTTGGCCTCCTTTCATTCTCAGTCAAGTTTCTTAAAGAAATTGTCTAATCCTAGACTTTCCACTTACTCTCCAGCCCACTGCAGTGATACATGGTAAGTTCTAAATAGCTGCTGCACTGAGCCAAATTTTTAGCTTATCAACGATCTGTTTAAGATACTCAGTAAAGGAAATAAGACTTAGGAAATTAAATTAGAAGTTCTATTCAAAGCCAGTCACAAAGTACTACATATTATGTGATACCATTTATATGAAATGCCCAGAATGGGAAATCTACAGAGATAGAAAATAGATTAGTAGTTGTCTAGGGCTGGGAAGAGAAGGATGGGGGGTGGCAGATAAAGGGCACAGCACCGCTTTTTGGGGTAATGAAAACATTTCAAAATTGATAATGGTGAGAATTGCCCAAATCTATGATTATACAAAAAGTCACTGAATTGTATACTTAAAATGAGTGAATTGTGTATGTGTGGCATGTAAATTACATCTCAATAAAGTTAGTTAAAAAAAAAACAAACAGAAAAGTTGCATTAAAAATAGTATAGTACATTGTGTGTGTGTGTGTGTGTATGTGTGTGTGTGTGTGTGTGTGTGTGTGTGTGTGTGTGTACATTTACACATGAAAAATTCCAGGGCTAAAATGCATTTTACTCAGGACTAGCCTCCCCATACTCTGGCTAGGGACTCAGGTTTGGGATTCTATGCCAATGGCAGAGAAAGTTCACCTCCCAGCCCCAGTATCCCTCCCACAAGCTGTCTCCTTTATTTTGTCACGCTCTCTGATATTTCTATTAAAAACAGATTGATATGGGATAATGTGCTCATGCTACCTCACCATGCTAAAACTACTAAAAAGGGCAACTGGGTCTAGGAATACACATCCAAAGGCATGGGCTATGGAGTTAAGCAGAGCTTCTTTTAAAACCAGACTCCCCCATATACTAGCTAAGTGACCTCAATCTCTTTGTACCTTAGTTTCAACTATAATCGGAGACCAGAACCATCTACCTTGTTGGGTTTGATTGATGTAAAAATTAAGTTTTTAAAAACATAATTGCAAGTCTCTGGAAGAATGCTTGAACTACATGTGCTGGCAAATACTGATCCTTTTATTTTCCTATCCGTCATTCACACCCTAGTAAGAATTACTTAAACAGCTCTCTAACATGTGGCTAAGAGCTGGGATTTCAAAAGAACAGAAAATTTTAATGAGGGAAAAGAGTAGTGAAAAGAGATGTAGATATTGGAGATTGAACAATGTAACTAAACTGTGCGATAAAATTGATCTTGTGCACAAATCCTATACCAGTTAACATTCAAGCGTGGAACTAAGCATTTGATGCCTAACACCCCCTACTATACTGTATCAGAAAGGCCGACATTCCTAACATTCCTATCTATAACTTGAACTTGTGAGAAATTAACCAGTATGTTGTTCAAGCCAAACATTGCTTTTGAGTATCTTGCACTGTTTCACAGAGAAGGGTTTTTTTAACTAGATTTTGTAGAAAAGTTTCTTATAAAACTATGAAAGACCAGGTTCAAGGTAAGGGGAACTACTGTAGGACCATGAGTCAGTCTATCCCTGACTGTCAGAAAGCCAACTCCTACTCTATGCCCTATCTACCCAGCCTATCCTAGTTGTTTGCCTGTAAATCCCCATTCCAGTAGAATATAATAAAGTTTACACTAAAGACATCGATAAACAGAATTCTATCCCAGAGTTTCTAGGGTTATGAAACTGGCTTTTCTTAAAGCCAAGTTCAATTATGGAGATTAACCTTACAGATTATTTCAGTCCATATTCATCTAGTTTGACTGTTATCACTTGTGATATGTGCAGTTTCAGCAAATTTAATATTCGTGGTAATAAATTTTCACTGTTTAAATATCCATAAAATCATTCCCATTTGTACAGCAAGCCAGAGGGGGAAAAAATGTCTGGAGGAAAATTAAAATTTTGTCATTTCTAATTTTCAACTGACCCTTGAAAGTATTAGGTGGCACGAAAGTACTTCTGAATGAATTGGACAAACTTCTTTCTTTTACTCTGCCTCACAATTGATCCAGATGGGAGCCAAAGCATAGAAAGAAAAAAAGCCAAGAAATGTTCTAACCTAACTTTTAAGGCATGGAGGTCTCCCCAAGAAAATGTGCCCCCTGCGTTCAAAGGAAATCCATTCAGCTCCACCCTTCCGTGCTGGGGCAGCCTCTGTGGGGAGAGGTAGATATTGTCCAGTTTGGTGTCCACATCGGACACCAGAATGTGCTCTGTGCTGATAACGCAGTGACCTCCCTCCGCCACTCTCAGGGGGATGGTGAGCACCTGGAAAGAAGGAAAGAAACATTTTGAGCCTTGTTCCATGAGATAGCCCTGAAGACAGAGCTCATTAAATTAATAAAAAAGTTGCAGTACCATATTCACCTGTTAAATAATTTTTCAAGAACGTGGTAAAAGAGTCAAGCTCAGAGCTGAACATCTCAGCTGAAAAATACTGTTTACTATAAAGGCTTCCGATTCTAAGCATTGATGGATACAAAGAAGCAAGGCAGGTCTATAAACCTGAAAATATCTACATTTCATTGCCAGACCCTGTACAGTAAAAGCAGCAGATCGGTTACCATCAGTGGAGCTAAAATGAGAAAATAACATTCATCATCACGTCCCCACCTACCATTGCTCAACACATATACCCTAATCTAAAACTGAGCAAACCTATATCAAATTCCCTTATAGAAAACAATCTCTTTTTTTCAACCTAAAAATTCTTAAAGACTTGGGAAATCAATTGGAGTTTTAAACATCAGTTATCGTGAGTATTTTAGAGATGGAAGTAGGTCAGAATTTTAAGGTCCCATAGGAAATAGAGAAATGGATTTATTCAAACATTAGACTTAAATATTGAAGCCATAAAGATATGCTTATAATAGAAAAACCCACTGCTCAACTGACTAGTAACTCATTTGCAAGTAAAAAGCAAGTTAGAAGGGCTGACAAAGAAATGCTTCATGGTCAAATAATTCTAGAGAACTGTTACCTACAACATCTTCACCTTAGAGATTTACAAGGAACATAATATATATTCTATGCTCTGCGATCCTACAATAGAAAATGTTGTTTGTTTAACTAGCATTTCCCCAAGTTTGTATTACTACACAGAAGCAACGCAAGCAGATACAGTTGGGTTAGCAAGCGACGGGCTCTGAGGGCTCCTCGCAGGTGATCTGGGGTGGGTGCCCTGCCAAAGTGAGGACGCAGCGTTCTCCGAGGAAGCAGCCCCTCTCCTCAGAGCAGCTGCTGCCCCCAGAAAGGAGAGCATTCCCAAGGAAAGAGGTGGTAAAGAAGATGAGACAAGGGCCAGGAGAGGACAGGGAAGTCAGCAAGGAGAAGCCACAGCTCCATTCAGAGCCCTGCTCTACCCTCCTGCCCAGCAGCGCACAGCTGCCAGGGGCATCCACAGATGTCCCAAGGACAGCCCCCCTAGACCACAGACATCATGAGACCCGCAACCCTGAGACGGCTGCCTGCTGTTCTTTAATAAACTATTTCCAACAGCAAAGGAAAACAAAAGCAAGAGCTTTCTCTCCCTACAACCACCTTCACCCCTTCTGTCCTCAGAGGCCTTACCCTCATTTTGCCAAGCCTACATTTTTACCGTTTGTAGGAGAAATAAATAAAGGAAGCTCTTATTGAGAGAGGAGTATTATCTTTGAGATCAGGTCCTTGTCTGCATTCTCATTTTTTTCTGAGTTGCATCAATTAACATCCCAAGGAATACACTTTGTTACAGTAGATGATTGTAAATATTATATATATGTATAAATATTATATATATCTTTAGAACAACTTTCAAAAAATAAAATCAGAAGGCTCATTTGCTCCCCACTGATTATCATTAACCTTTCAGCCCCTACCCGGACCCAGTGCTTAAGCTCTGGGACTTCAGGTTAGCATGGTGTCAAGATCCCCTAGTGGTTATCACTCAGCCCAGCCCAATGTGGGTATTTGAAATCAGGGAACCACTCCTGTGACCGGCTTCCCTGAAACTACTCATTTAATTTTATTTCTAACATTCTCAGGTCTCTAAGATACTATTTCATTTGTTCCATAGACTGTAGAAAAAAGACAGAAGCCACTACGCCACTTCAGCTCCAAGTCTTCTTCGTGACTATTCAATCAACCTTCAAATGGAGGAGGTAACTGCTCCCGGCATCTTTGGTCTGCCCCATGGATCATCTTTCTCCAGGCAAAGACTTGGACTGCTTTGCATAAAAGAGTATTTCTTCACGATCATTCAAGAAAAGTTTTGCCTTCTTTAGATGCTGGGCTATTTCAGGCCTCTCTCTCACACATAGAAAAGGGTGGTGTGAATAAAACCTAATAGAAGTAACTGTTTTACTAAACTATTTTCTCCACCAGAATGTGATCTGGTTTCTGCCAGGTAAAGAGTCAAAGAATAGAGTTCAGATTATTTTGCCTGCGTTCCTTGGTGCATCGTCTATCAAAAATTGTAAGCGCACAGGCTTGAGGCGCGCGGCCAGTAATTTAAATTTCTGTATGGATTGGGTGGGGACTTTGGTGACCGGAGAACATGCCTTTTCCAACCGTTGTGGGATATGTGGGCTCCGTGTTGCCAGAGCTTCCAAATTTTCAAAAGAAGCCAGAAATCCCGGCTCAATATGAAACCTCCTGATGACTAAGTGTTGGCAACTCATTATTCAAAAATACTGTTTTTTACCCAGCCCAAGTTCTGTGGGTGGGTAAGCTCGTTGGTTCCTCCAGGGGAGCCTGTGCCCCACAGCCTTGGGCAGGTGTAGAGATAGCGAGGAGTGAGCGAGAAAGGGAACGTCAGTGCTTTTCTGGGTGTACTCCAGGTGGCTACCTGTGAAGACGACCTCTTTCCATGGGGATGAGACATGTGTAGGTTCTAGTCCCCTCAGCTTCCTAATGGATGGGTAATCCTACCTTGTCTTTTGGCTTCTTAGGGGGAAAATGAGCCCAGGAACAGCCATGCTAATTAAGTCTAGCACTCGGATGGGGAGGGGGCAGGGTATAGAACAGACTCTCAGTCTCAACCTCAGCCTCTCAGATAAGACACTCAAGGTGGCATTGCCTTTGTAGTTCGGTTTTAATGAGAGACCCCAGTACTTTAGAGCTGTATAAAGATTGGGGAGTGGGACTGAATAGAATGGAAGGGCCCATCTTAATTCATTTTGGAAAATTAAAAGCTTCTTTAGATTACAGAGTAGCATAGCTGGCCTGCGGTGAGAGCAAATAAGCCCTTCTGGTTGCTAAGAAACCCATATTTTAATCCCCTTTCCGTGATCAACATGTGAAACTCAGCAGAAAGAAAAGCAAATGAAAGAGATTCTGATAAAGCTTTGAAAACAATGCCAAAACCAGCAACTGAAAAATCTCACCTTTTAGGCAGAAAGTCCCATGGGAGGTGAAGGACACCCCCTCCCCATGCTTTTTCCTACACTGTGACTAGAAAACAAGAAGGTTCCTTAAAAACGTCTAAAGAAAAGTTAGCATTTCCAATATGCCTTAAAGTCCTTCCTAGCTTTCCTTTCATCCGCCCCCCTTCCATCCTTCCTGTCACACACGCTGCACACACCTCAGGAACCTGGTTGTCCACTGGAAGAACCGTGATGTTAAAACAGATCCCGTGCAAAGCGCCTCCGTGCTGGTTACTGATGGAAAACATGAACTGGACGTGTCGTAGATGGGGGCCTATATCACGCATGGGTGGCATGTAGGCCACCTTCATATAGTTCACAGCATCCTGCAAAGCAAACCGAGATGGACACACGGATGTCAATTTGCAAGGTTAGAAACTTTCGGAAATCGAGGTCTCAGGGACCTATCATGATAATGATATGGAATATTCTGAATGCCACCATCATCAGTTTGAGCACTGTAAAAAGGTCTCCTTTGTAAATCACATTTTCTAAAAACCAGGAGGGAAAATCAGGAGACTTCCAGCCTCCGAACTGTGAGACAATAAATCCCAGTTGTTTTAGGCCACCCAATTTATGGTACTTTGCTATGGCAGTTCTAGCACACTAATATGGTAGGATATTAGATAAACTGAATTTGGCAGAATAAAAACTTATGTGCCAGCTCCCTGCTAGCAAAACAATGCAAACGTCTGTGTCAAATTACAAGATTTTGAAATCATATCCAGCTTGATCAAGCATTGTCAAACAGATGTTGCATGCTTAATGCAAATGCACAAGCAGAAAGAGTAAAGACATCAAGCACTTGTAACAAATGTGAAAGGCCATCATTCTCAAGGGAAATACTAGGAGCACCATGACTTCTCTGAGGGCACTTCCAACATTTTAGCACAGCATCCTACCTGAGTGAATGACTTCAAGCCCTGCGCTGCAGGATTTTTGGTTAGCTTTGGTATGCTATCCACCATGAATAATTTCCCAGCGTCCAAATGTCTAAAGAGAAATATTGAACACATCAGCTTATTTTCCGAGCAACAAAAATTAAGTCAAATAGCCTATAACCAAATTTTATAAAACTAAAAGAGCTCCTTGTGGGAAGAAACAAAAGATTCCATCTTCATATTCTGTTTTTATGTTGGGGATTCTAGCCATAGTAAGTCCAATCTCATCAATGCCATTTTCATCACTATTGCAAAAAGTATGTATAATATTTTCTGCTTTGACATCATGAAAGAGAATCATTATTCTCATCCTAGAAATGTTTCCTTGCTGTCATGTACGTGACACCAGCCTACAGTCTATTCATGTCACTCTTCTTGATTGGGATCATAGAATATGACCATTTTGTGGCCTGCAATACCTAAAAATAATGTTATGAAGACTCAATACATTTTACTAAAAAGAAAAAAGTAGCATTTTCTTTAGAAAAGGGAATTAAAGAGTGTTTTTAGCCAACTAAGCTGAAGACACTACAAGATGCAGGTCACTTACCAATTAACTCAGCTTTGGAAGGGGGGTGTAAGTTTGAAATTAGAGTAAATGCTGAATTGAATGTAAGTTCATGTCTAACCAACAAAGCAATTGAACTACAGCACCACAGATTGACGTTTTTGACTCTCCAGTCCTAGACACAACCCTCAACTAATGACCTTTCACAGATACCTGTGACTGGAAGAGAAAATTGGAGGAGTTGTTATTGTATAGAGCAGCTCCCTGTCATATGATTCCGTATCTATGAAATGTAGATGCTTCTTAGTTATGTAGGCCACCTCCGTTTCCTTGACAACCAAATGCCGAGAAGCTCCAGGAGCCTCTTTTGGAAGCTGATCATCCACTGGAGTGATATGAATTGTCACCACCTGTAAAGAAATGATCTGTACCATTAATCTGAAGTACCAAAGACATCAAAGAAAACACCCCACAATCACCTAGTCACAGAGGTTTTTGATGATTTTGGAAAACTGTCATTTATAACATACTTTCATTGAAATGTTTCAGGAGCCATTAAGAAGGTGAGCCAAAAATAGAACATTCTCCACCCATCTTACATTGTATTTTAAGAACATAATTATCACAATTATAGTTAATGCAGTCATGAGTGCTATATACAACGGTATTTCTACATCTCCCTTCCAACAACAACCTGTGCTTTTTCAACCTCCCTCTATTCAGTTATTGATTCCAAAAACCTTGACATAAATTTTGGCTCCTCCTTCTCTGCCCACATATGTACCACACACCTCCCAGAGTTTCTACTTGTAAAATTCCTATGCAGTGACCACACCCCACTCCCACCCCAGCTGTCATTCCTGCTGTTACTGGCCTAGCTCCAGCTCTCATAATTTCTTCCTTACATTATTGCAACAGCTTTCTGTTAGCACTAACTCCAACAGCTAACCTAGACTTAACATACCTCTAGTATTATCGTTTTAAATAATACAAATCAAATCAGGTCATTCAACTCCTCAAAAATCTTAAACCACCACCCAGGAGGGATAGAATTATTCTAGCTCCCTAGCACAGCGTCTAAGACCCTCTACAGTTTGGCTTTGGTTTTGATTTTTTGTAGTGATTATTTCTTGGCCAATATTATAGAGTTTTTTAAATTACTGTTAACATATTGATTGTGAATATATATATATATATATATATAT